CTAGCCTAAGAACCTTAGAAGCTGAGCTAACTAGCAGCAGCTATGTGAGCTCAGGTTTAGAGGTGACCATCGCGAGGTGAAGGGCGATAGAACTGAGTAATGACGCTGGTGACTCCGAACTTATAGGGTGAAGGCGGAGCCTGTCACCCGACGTTCAACGTCACCACGTCACCGGTCTAAAGACGTGATTAGAGGTGGCTTCAGCCAGCTCGTGCATGTCCCATACACAACTGTGTGTTGTACTGAGTGAAATGACTGAAAAGGAACCAGATGATCCAGACCGCCTTAAAAGATTACAAGAAAACCCYTCTGCTTGGAAAAATGAAGGCTGACAAAACATTTGAACAAAACTGCTTGAAAAACTATTTATTTTGTCACTGACTGATTTTCAGACTGCAGAGAGGAGCAGTACCCCTGCACCCGACTCTACTCCGTCCACAAACCCTGCAAGCAGTGTCTCAACAGCCTCTGTTTCTACAGGTAGAAAACTCATTTGATCAGTTTAGGAGGGAAATTAAAAAAAAAAAAGCTTATTTCTTTTCCAGGTTTCTGAACAACATGAGCTCAAATAAGCAGATAGTTGTGTGGCAGTGTGTATTATCGATCAGTTATTGTTTGTGTGAACCTTTTACGTTTCAGTTTGCGGCGGGTTTACGTCGTCAACAAGGAGATCTGCGTGAGGACAGTGTGTGCACACGAGGAGCTGCTCCGAGGTGAGTTCAGGCTTTTACACCCTGACGTTTCTGAATAAATGACAAACATCTCATTAAATGTCACTGTAACCTAAATGTGATCAGTTCCAAGATAAAACTCCACAACTGAGACATAATAACACACTCACTGCAAAAATTAAATCAGTTAAATCAAATTAATGCCCAACCTGTTTGAATGAACTTTAATCATGGAAAAGCCTGAGAATTAATATCATAGACAAAGAAGATCTTACAGTTTTTATTAAACTGAACACATCGACTGAAAAACACGTTTTTGTTCTGTTAAATATTAAATCCACAGGTAAACAAGGCAGATAAACAATCAGTAAAGTCCACAATTATTTGTATCCTTTTCTGCTTCCACTTCACTATAAAAATGTTCTAAATCAGGGCAACTCAACTGGCGGCCCAGGGGCCACATCTGGCCCACGGGTGAGCTCAGTCCGGTCTATCAATGAGTTCATTTAAAACAAGATTTGATTTCAAATTGTAAACTAAATTTACATTAGAACAATAATGTTGAGCTGTTGTCTGTCAGTAATCATGGCCCCCTGAGCGATTTTAATAACCCAGCTCTAAATTAATAATTTTAAATTTAGAAGTTTGATCATATGATTCATTTTTCTTCAACTGTGTTGTACTAAAATGAGTTTAGTACTGAACCATTACAATGTACAAATGGTCCATGTAATATTAGTAGTAATATATATTTTTAAAGTATTTTCCAAGTTCTTCCAAAAACATGAATTTTGTTTGTTTGAAATAAGTTTAATTCAAGGTTTGGTTGTGGGAGGATTACCTGACCTGTATGTGTGACTGTGTGTGTGTGTGTGTTTAGCGGACCTGTGTCGTGACCAGTTCTCCCGCTGTGGTGTGATGGCGCTGAGCGGTCAGTGCTCCTCGCTCGGAGGAAGCTGTGGGAAAAGCTGCGGCGGCTGCTGATGCGGCTGCTCTTCATCCTCTCATCTTACCCACTTTCGCCTCCCGACTCATTGGTTTCTCCGTGCGAGAAGCACCTTGAATATTCCTGTTTTCTGTTCTCCACGTGTGTACGGATTATAAAACAAACAATAATATTGATGATTGTATAAGTCACTGGTGCTATAAAACTTTTACAGGTGCAAAAAATAATAAACCCCACCACAGATCCCTGTTTTTATTTTTATTTTTTGCATATTGTATCGTAATAATCTCGTGTTTTCTATTTGTTGATGTATTACTGTACTTTTGTTAAAAAGCAGTCGTTATGATAATCAGAACCTTTTATTGGTGCTCTGAGATCCAACAGAACTGATGAACATCGAACGATCAGGAAATCTGTAAAGCAGGTGAGCGACACCAGTTTTTTTTTGTACTACTGCTACAGAAAAGTGGCAACTAGTGCTTTAAAAAGGCCTCTATACTACTGCTTTGTAAAACTGTCACTATAAAAAGAAAAAGGAAAAAATAAACTCTTTTTTTACAACTTCTTAGTGACGTGAGATTGATTCTGATTTTACCTGATGTGATGAAAAGAGCTGAAATTATGAGCAAGACGTCATTTTATTCTCCAACAAACTTGGTTTATCTTCAACACAAGTGACACGGATGTCTGTTAGTGTTCATACTGTATAATAAAAATACATATTTACATCTCATATTAAAGGGGTAGTACAAACCCTTTAAAGTAATATTCTGTGAAATGGATATAGATGGAGCTCCTTATGCAGTCTGAGTTGGAAAATGTTGAATTCTCACCAGATTGAGCCAACAACTCAAAGTGAAAATATTTTTTATTACTGCCATCTGAAAACAACTCCAGTCTCAAACATTTACTCTGGCGTTTGTTTCCTAGAGCTGTTTGATTTTAAACGGGTCATATCATGATCATATATGGCGTATGTGATGACTGGCTGGTACCATTTCCCCTGTGCTGCTGTACTCCACCGCTTTGCCTGTTTTCTGTGAAAACGTGAAAGAGGAGCAATTGGGGGAAAAATAAAAAMAAAATAAAACCACAAATGGCTCTTTACTTATAGTTCATTGTAAGAAAGCGTTCAAAAGATTCTGATCTTTTGCAAACGTCACACTTGCAAACACAATAAAGAGCAGCTAGCTGTAGCATTTCCTGAGATAACATAATGGCCCGATCCGATCTCAAGTGTCTGAGGAGTTGACTACTCTTGGTTCCCACTCTTTCCATGTTGTTGACCTTATTGACTGTCTATTTATAATCTAAAACAGAACAAAGTCCCAAAAAAATGACTGTAAAAATAGTTCATTGACTTTAAATTTCATGAGGCTAGCACCTTCCTGTTTTGAGTTATGACTAAAATTATTGTTCACATTCAAAATTAACGATCTGAATTATCACTTGTTCATCCAACCAAACCATTATGACTTCTTCAAACCTCATCAACATAGTAAATTGTTTGCCCAAACCAGGCCCACATCCAAGAAACTCCCACTTGAAACGCCTGGCTAAAATCACCCAGCTAACTCTTAGCAATGCTACGCAACACAGTAAAGTCAAGGGTTTCCTCAAGACAAAATTTGTTTAAAAGTTGTTTAAAYGTCCATCTACAACAGGTAACATATTAATTGTGCTTAACCTTTTCACAGAATTCCACTATAAAAGGCCTTAACTATCCTTTTAACTAATAAAAATACATACTGTCAGGGTGCCATTTTATAAAAGTGATCAGTTTTAGTTTTAAAATAGCATTTTAACATCGGTAAAATCTGTTTCTAATAAAATAAACTGTTATGTTTGTTTTCAGTCACAATAAAAACCTTCAGTCAGTTTCTCTGAGTGAGGAAGAATAAAAATTAAATAGGAAAACATCCAAACTTTGTTGTGACCTGATTTTATCTCTTGAACCGGAGCAGACGGTTTGTCAAGAAGCTGATAGTTACAGATGTGTTTTCAATAATCTGCAGTCACATCATTGTTTTTGTACGGTTCAAAATTGTCAATAAAGCACCTTTTGAAACGACGGTGGTGTTAAAGTGACGAAGAACAACCAGTCAGCAGAGTTGCAAGGTTCTGTTTGTTGGTTAGAGTTGATGGTTTCCTCTCAGTTTCCTTTGGACAGTAAGGAGGGAGAAAGAGAGGGCTGCCAGCGTTTGATCTCCTGCTGCAGCTGCTCCTTCAGGGTGGAAACCTGCCGTTAAAGACATCAGAGACCAGAACTGTAAACATCTCATCTGAACCCCTCACATCACATGACTCTAATCTGTAATCCAGGGTGCTGTGGCCCTGTATGTGCAAATTATCAACTATTAAGATGCTGCATATCAAAATGGACATTTTAACACCAAATATTAAACACGATCACACAAAATGATTTGATAACAGTGGAGGCAGGTGTTGGGGGTGACTCGCAGCTACTACCACACCAAAGTTTACCTCAGTATCTGTAAAACTGACAGAGTTATAGCCTTATTGAACAATATATAAAAGTGTGATGTTTAAAGGTCTGTGCACTTTTTGGTAATTTATTTTTAAATTTAAAAATTGATATTGAAAAAAAAACGAACTGTTATTTTTCTCAAACAGGAAGTTATTACTTTTATCAAACCATTTAAGGTGGAGCTAGTTAAAGAACATTTTTAAAAACAAACAACTGCCGGTAAATAAATAAAAAATAAACCCCAACTAACTACTTTTGCATTTCTTTAACTAACTAACTGCAGGCTGTATTTTTATTAATAAAGCTAGTTTAGCTATTTAAAAAAAACTATTATTCTAGCTCCACCTTAAATGGTCTGATAATGGATGAATTATCATTTTTCTAGGTAACTAACCATCTGGTTAACATAACTAGCTAACCATGCAGCTGAAGTAAATAGACACTAGTTTATTTAGTTTTATACTAGGTTGTTTATGAGTTTTGCATGTTTTAACAGGTGTTAGTTGAAAGCTTCAAACTTCAAACACACGAAGAGTTTCTCCAGAGCTCCATGGTTATGAACTTGAAATCTTTAAATCCTTGTTTGGTGATTTATTTTATAAAACACTTGTGTTTTTGTGTAGTTTTAGTGTCAGACTGTTTAAATATATCTCATCTTTTACAATCAGACGTTACAGCTTCAGACTTAAAGTGAGCCTGATGAAAACCGCCCTCACCTGCTCTTCCAGCCCTTTGACTCGGTGTCGGTGAGCTCGCTCTCTGACGCCCAGCGTTCGCTCCACGTCTCTGAGGCTGCTCCTCAGGCTCTCCGCCTCCCGCTGGGCCTCGTCGCGCTGCCGCACCAAACCCTCACAGAGAGCGTGGCTGTGCTCCGTGTCAGCCAGCTGCGTCTGCTCACCGCACACACAAACACACACATAAACACACACACAAACACACACACAAACACACACACACAGGTCAGACTGTGAAGGACAGAAACCCCAAACTGCACGTGTGTTTTTGTAGAAACGATCTAAACAGGTTCAGGTCTCCAAACAATGGCACAGCTTAGAAAACTTGTTTTTTTCTACCAATTTACTGAACAATTTTTAAATCCTCTGAAGTGGATAAAAAGCCATGAAGACTAACAGAGAAAACTGACTGTTCAAGTTTTTAAAAAGGTCTTTTCTGCAGCCTGGAGAAAGTTTGCCGAAATGAGGAAAAGTGGTTTGAAACAAACAACTTTAATCACAGTTTCAGAATTCCTCCGAAACCCACTGCAGATTTATTTATAACTTGTTTATGGCATTTCTGTGGCAAAAAAAGATATGGCGTAAGTAGCTTAGAAAACTAAATGCTTATTGTGTCAGAAGGGGGTTTGGTTTGAGGAACAGGAGAAAAACATTCAGGCATTTAAATCTAATGAGTATCTGATAAACTTTTCTCAAATAGTCTCATTATGAACACAACTCACTAAAACATGAGTCTTAGTTTATTTAGTTTACCTTAACTGTGACCACAGCAAAAATAAAAGCAAAATGTAGCAACTTAATACACAATGAGTGTGAGAAATACACCATTCATCCAGTTTAATAAACTCTGATCCATGTTTATGGAAGTTTTTCTACACTCTGATTGTTGTCTGGTGAGTGTTTGGCTTATTTTGTGGGAATTTAAAATCTTCAAATCATTCTTTCACTCCTGCTGGAAGCTGTTTTCTTCACAAATAAATTTAGGAGTTTTGATCAACATCAAAAGGAGGTATGAAGAAAAGCTCCTCCTCACCTGCAGCATCAGTATCTGCTGCTGCGCCTCCTGCAGCTCCTGCTCCGCTGTGTTCAGGGAGCGATCCAGGCGGCTTCTCTCTGCAGACAGCCTCATGCTGCCCTCCTCAGACTTCAGCTTCTGACGCTCCACCTGACGTCAGGAAGGTTCGGTTTTAAATGTAAACTTTGCATGGCAAAATACAAATCTGCAAATTCCCAAGACTTGCACCCGCATTGTAAGTGACTGGGCCTTTTCCTGTGCTGCTCCTCACCTGTGGAATACCCTCCCTCCTCATCTGAGGGCTCCACAAACCGTGACAGGCTTCAAAGCTGGCCCAAAATCCTTTCTTTTTACACAGTGTTTTTCTATTTAGCATTTTTACTGGATTCTTTTTAGTTAATGTGCCTTGTTTTTCCTGTGGATTACCTTGCCTCCTCATCTTATGGCTCCACAGACTGTGGCAGGCTTCAAAACAGGCCTAGAAACCTTATTTTTACTTAGTGTTCTTATAGATTTCCTTTAATTNCGAGCGCTGACGCAGAGCCTGTCGGAAGGAAAGGAATTGCCTGTTTTTACCCTTGTTCTCCCGCAGAACCTCGTATTTTCTTGTTTTTGTGTCGTGCATAAGAACAAAGCCTCAGCGACCTCCTGAGAGGCGCTGAGCTCCGACTCCAGTTCCTCTCGCCGCTGCTCGCTCTGGCTCAGCTCAGTCTGCAGGTCCTGCATGCGCTCGGTGAGAGCCGCCAAGCTCCTCTTCGTCTCTGCCAATGCTGCTCGAGCTTCATCCGTTTGTTCCTAAACAGAACGAGGTAATCATCGCACGCACGCACACACATGGAACTTAATTATTCCTCTGACCCACACACACCTGCAGCAGCCTTCGGTCCTGTTCAGACGAGCTCAGCGCCTTCTGCAGGGTGAGCATACGAGTCTGCGTGCCGCCGTGGGAGGCCGTCACCTCCTGCAGGGTCTGACTCAGAGACACGGCCTTCTCTCTGACGGCAGATTCTCCTTCCTGACATCGGAGCAGAGCCTGGTTCAGCCGGTCCACCTCTCTCTGCAGCACCGAAACACGAGCATCGCCCTCAGCAACCTGGAGTTCACAGGAAACAGAGTTATCTCTTAATCCGAGGTTTGCAGTTTCTAATCAGGCTGAGTCAAAGTGCACCTGTTTGAGCAGAGCGTCGTGACGCTCCTGAGAAGCCCGGCTCTCAGCCTCCCTGTCACCCAGACTCAGTTTGAGCCTCTGCAGCTCCCCCTCCAGGCTGCGCCTCCCCAGCTCCACCCTGGTGGCCCGAGCTTCGGCCGCCTCCAGCGCCTCCCGCAGGCGCTTCCTTTCTGCGTCCAGCCGCACCTCAGCCGCACGCTGCTTGTTCAGCTGATCCTGCGGAGAGGCATCACCGTAATGTGGCTTTTCAACAACCGAGTGGACCGTTTACTCAACAGAGGTGAGGGTTTTACAGGTAATACCTGAGGTGAGGTTTAGGAAAGGGCTAAACACATTATATTATATATATACAAAATATTTATTTGTTTGTTTAAAATAGGACAACTTCAAGGATAATTTCCCTTTTCTGACAAATTTGGTTAAATTTGGTCCAGTGTCAAAAATNATTAATCTGATGGGTTGTTTGCAAACCTTCATAATATGCTCGGTCTCTAATATGAATAAAGCTTGAGGTATATTTAGAGCCTGGGCCAGACGGGAACCTGGCATTAAAACCAGACATATGGAGCCCTGATACACGGCACCACAGGTGGTGTATCTCTCTGTGTGTGTTGGGTTTTTGTTGTTATTACAGTCCCCTCCAGATTAAATTGATCATTGTGCCATCTGGTCACTGCTGTGTGTGAGAACACAAAAGACGTGCTCAGAAGTGAGCGACCCTACCTGAGTGTGCTTCTTATCGCTCTCTGAGGTCTGCAGGGATCGCTCTAAGCTCCTCACCCTGTCGGCGAGGGCTCTCCGCTCCCTGTCCCCCCTCCTCACCCCCTCCTCCTGCTGCTGCAGCAGGATCTGGGTGGTGGTCAGACGCTCATCCAGTCCGCGCTTCCCTGCATCCACACACACACTTAACAAACGAGCTTCAGTTTCAGTTCGGATAACTATCTTTATATCTAGGTTTAGACCTTCTTGGATTTCCTGCAAGGTGG